CCAGGGCAACACAGTGAGACTCTGTCTCAAAAAAAAAAAAAAAAAGAACAGCTTTAGCTTTCCTTAGTTGCTCCTCTCTATTTCTTATCAGAAGAAAGTAGATTTACTGGAGATCCAGGCAATAACAGGTTCCGCAAGAACTTGCAACAAGATTACTGAGGTCTGTTGAACCAATCACACAAAAGGTTTGGTGTAGACTTTATAGGCCAAATTGGTACAAGTTCAGCTCGCCTCTCCAGGAGTTCAATGGCACCATCTGCCTCATGCCATCTCCACTCACCTAGATCTCTTTTGCTGACTATATTCTGCCCTCCCCTTAAATTCACCCAGAAGCCAACAGTTTGACAAGGAGGGTATATCACATTTATGCTGTTCACTGTTTTATGTGATAAAGTTTTTTCAATTATTATAATGCCATGTTTTAGTATACCTTTTTTTATGTTTTATTATGGACTGTAACATTAAAATGCATCAAACATTATACAATTTAAGATTTGAATATGAATAATTATCAAACTCAAATTACTAAACATACAGAAATTTTTATCCCTCAAGTTAGAGAAAAAAAAATTTGGGGGCTACATAGTATTTAACAAAAATCGATTATGTGCTGGGTCACAAAGACAATTTATAAAAGGCCACATTCTCTTATCATAATAAATAAAAATTAGAAATAAAAAGGCTATTTTGAAAATTCTGGATTACTCAGAAAATAAGAAATTCATCCTTAAATCATCACTAAAATGGAAACGCAAACTGAAATATTTATGTATTTATTTGCATTATTAAGAGGACTACTCTCAATTATAAAGCTATTTAGTAAATATGCCAAGAAAAGGGCTTGATAAACTCAGTGAAGTTTGGGTTTTATAGCTTCAAACTATGATTTAAACAGAATAAAACTTTTATTGAAGTTCCCATAGGACAATTAACTGTTATTATAGCCCTGAAACACTCTAGTCCCTTTTTTCTCCCATCGAAACTTTTTCTAACAGTAATTTAAATAAATCAAGGTTTCTTAGGCTCATGCAGAACTATAGGAGGGCACATTTTATGTACCACTGATAGTTTATTATTTGAACAAAGTTGCTTTGGAAGACCTCTTAAGGTCAATGTTTAATTAATTTGCCTTATTTTGAAATGGGAATAGGCCTACCATTAAACTTTTACTGTAAATTAGTATACTTGGTTTTAATAAAAAAAATTAGCTATAACAACAAAGAATCCAGCGTCCAACCTATGAAAAGCCAGAAAAAAACCAAAATAAACCCCAAAGAAAATAACAAATATAAGTTCACAATGTTTCTTTTCTTTAAACAGAATGAAGTTTTCAGAACAAGGACCAAGTCTCATCTTTGGATTCACATTCTGTCCAAACCTGGATTCCTAGCTCAGAACTTACTGCACTGTCTTTCATAACCAGTCTTTTATGAGATGTCAACAGCTTTTCCAAAGGGTAAACGACCCGCCGCAGGTAACTCTCATCCTTGTGGTTATCGTACAGCCACTGGGCATCAAGCACGTCATGCATCGTCACCATGTGGTCCTGAAAAGCAGCCATGTATGAAAATAATTCAGTGCCTTCATATCTCAAATAGCCCATCAGACTCCAAACTTCCTAAAATGGAATGTAACTTGTCTGCTAGTCCAAGCTCATTAAGAGTCTTCAGCCTCTTCAGAATCACCTCTCTTCTGGACATCTTTAACTGTTGATATATTAGATCTAAGCACTCATTTTTGTAGGACTAGGAGGTAAATGAATAGAATAATGCTTTCTATCCAATCATCTCCCCTAGCCCATGTCAATGTCCCAAAGTTTAATTAACGGAACAGGGAAGCTTCCCTGAACTGAACTCAACACTTTGGAAAGTACCTTTCCCAGGATGTGAAGCAAGTGGTGTTCCACTAAGGTCTGGGATTTTAATAACCAGCTCTGAAACTTCTAGCCCCATAATGGCATACCTTCTCACTCATGACTCCAGAACGAACTCTCCGAAGTTCCTGCATCTGACCACCAACTCCCAATAATAAACCAAGGTGCACACACAGTGTCCGAATGTAGGTGCCAGCCTCACAACTCACCCAAAAGATTCCTAAGACACATACAAAGGAAAAGCAGCACCTATTTGTCAGAGTAAACACATCACTGGTTGAGAAATCCAGAGTTATTCTTCATCTGAGACATCAATACTAGAGATGAAATACATAGACCATGACTACACAATATGCTAAGGGCATCTCCCCTGTTTAAAAAATATAAGAATTGAGTATTTGCTGTATTGAAAAGATTTTTAGTTTTAATACTAGCAGTACAGCATCACAGAGCGTAATTTTTCACATTAATTGCACGTATATTAAGTATGGAATGTTTTAAGGACTGGAGGAAAATGGGCATTTTGTCTTTAAATTTACTACTGACAACTCAATCTGAACAGTTTTGCTAAGCACTGATACGTTAGAAAAGTAAAACTCAGACTGTTGATTGTTGCTTTTTGCCATTTAGTAGCATTTTACACATAGACGTCAATCAACTTCAAGGACATCTACTTTTAACAACAGGACAGAATTCTCTAGAATGTGTTCCTACCCACTTGTGGTCTATGTCAATTCAGTTCCTCACAGGCCTAATGACCCACCTAATCTTCTTTCAGCATCGTATTCAATCATTTTGCTCTCGTAGATAGTTCTCACTCGGAGCTGCCTCTTTACTGCAGCAATAAGTGGAGGTCGCTGGAACAGGGCACCGGTCAGAGTCTCTAGGGCCTAAGAACAAGCACAAACCAAAACACTCTCATCAGAAGGGACATGGCTAGAAGTTCCCTTCCCATCTGCAGTCACCCACCAGGTGGGCTAAGGCAGCCTACTGAAAAGGGCACAGAAGAGGCCAGCCAGGAAAGCTGACCTGTCTCCAGAGACCAAAGCTGCCAAAGGGGGCCCTCCCTACAATTGCAGACTTACCCTAGAAAGCTGGGTCCCCCCTTCAATAGCATTGTGCAGCCGGACAATTCCCACATACTCTTTGCCTGAAAAATGACGAAAGGGTAGTCAGGTGTGCCACTGAGTTTTCTGTATTTTTATATGCTCAATCATTCCCATTTTACATAGCAAGAAAAGCAGGAAATTTGACCTCATGTTTCTATAAAATCTGCATTAAGGCAGATTTCATGGTGATGATGTGAGAAAGGAATGAAGACACTTTCCCTGGAAGTCCAATGTACTGACAGAACAGTTGGGAGTATCAAGTGTACACCCTGCCTGGAAAACACCTTGCAAGATAAGAATTTTCTCAGATGAAAATGAGGGAAGGAAAAAAAAAAAAGAGGGAAGGACACTTTAGGCAGAAGGAACAGCAGAGAGGAGCCTGGAGTGACAACCCGAGAGCTGGACTTGAATGGAGTTCTGCCTCAGTGCTAGGAATGGATCTAGTCAGCTCAATGTATACATGTCTACTATCTGGAACTCCAAGAAGGGCAGACCCACCAGGATCTGGCGGGCAGAGGACAGAACGTAACCAGAAATCAAAAGAATTTCTCTGCTTCAGGACTTTCTTTGTCCTAATGAAGAAATAGTTTCCAAGAGCTAAAATGTAAAAGAGAAATGCAGAAAGCCTTCCAATCTCCAAGTAGCCAGCCCTTCCCCCCATCTTCCACATACCTGCACTCTGTTGTGATTTCACCAATCGAGTGGCTCGTTCAATGCACACAATTAAACATCCAGTCACCTTGGGATCCAGAGTACCACTGTGTCCTGTCTTCTCCACCCTAAGTATTCGTCGAATCCAGGCTACCACCTCATGGGAAGAGGGGTTAGAGGGCTTGTCAAGATTAATGAAACCTGTCCTAGAATGGAAAAAAAAAACACATAACACCTGTTCTTGTGCTCTAATAAAACAACAAATATGAAGAGTTAAAAAGAAAAAGAATTCACCATGGTTACAGGTTATATATCCAGGGAAAAACTATTCTAATATTCCACTACCTCCTTGAACAGGTGATGTGAAAGCATCATTTTCAAAAGAACAGATGTTTGAATAGTGCTTGCTCCCAATACACTTACCTGATATAGTCCCCAATCTCTCTCTTCAGAGGATTTGAACCTGAAGGAAGAGGTGTATAGTGCGTTGTCCTCACATTCAGCTTATCGAAATTCTAGAAACAACACAAAATAAAATAACAAACCATTAACACATGTAAAACAAGAGTCAACACCACAATCAACCATGATATTGTAACCCTCTGAATTCACAAATCTGGATTTTTTGCTCCTATATTTCCGTTACCTGCTGTGACAGATTGTTAAGCCTCCTTAAATACCAGAAAAATTACCCATATTAGTAAGAACAAGACAAATTTGAGCACCTATAAGTTTAAGTCATTGCTCTAAAAAGAGGAGACTTCTTGCGGGTAGCACAGAAGAAACTGGGATTCACTGGGTAGGATTATGAATAAAACACAAAATAGCTTTGATTTTCTCAGGGACAAAACATAGCCAAATTGAGGATGACTGGCAACATTTTTTAATATGGCCCCAGATACCAGAGCAGAGAGATCTCTATTCTCCACATGTCTGTTCTTTTTGGTCTCCTCCTTTCTAAGGCTTGACCACCACTCTGAAAGAGCTCCCCCAACTAAAGCCCATCTTTAATCATTAGTTTAGTTTCATGATGGTACTTACCACAAATAGCAATTCTTTTTTAACTGTCTATCTCACATCCCTTGATTTTAAGTTCCATGACAGTAGGGACCTTGCCTACCCTGTTCACTAGCGTATCCCCAGGGCCTACAATAGAAAAGCAGATGCTGCCTAAATGACATATCTGGCCAAACAAAAACCCAACTGTGTTGAATTATATAAGCAAATCCCATTCTATTACCACCTCATATATAATGTTTTATTAAAACTCTTTCTTAAAGGCTGTCTCAGTAACTTCTTCTACTCTCTAATTTTTTGACCTAACTTCACAGCAGGTACCCATTTGTCTGTGAAAATTATAAAAACACACTATAATTAACTCACTACTGAACTACTCTATTTAAACTCCAAAATAATAGCCAATAACTTTTCTTTTTAAAAATAGATACAGGGTCTTGCTATGTTGCCAAGACTGGTCTCGAACTCCTAGGCTAGCAAGCAATCCTCCCACCTCAGCCTTCCAAGCAGCTGGGACTACAGGCACATGCCACACCATGCCCAATCTAGCCAATAATTTCTGAAGGACATGCCAGGAATTGTGGCTAAACATGTTTCATAGATTACCTCCTATAACCCTCAGCACATCTTACTAAGAGAAGAGATCATGACCAAACAGCCTCAGAGAGGCTCAATGACTAACCAAAGGTCACACACCGTCTGACTCAAACTGTCTGACTTCAAAGCCCATGTTCTTAAGCACTAAAGCAGTCCTACCTCCAAGTATGACCCCCAAACTGGTACAGGTCTGCAAGATGGAGTAAGTACAGAAACTGAGAATTGTTTACAAACTTTGATAGCAATTTAACATTGTGACATTTACACTATATTCTACAAGTGTTGGATGCATTGGAAATTTTTAAAAAACCACCTGGTCCTTCATCTGAGACACCTTAAGGAACACTGCTTTAGACTGTATCATCAAGCATTTCCTAAAGTCAAGCATGCTAGCAGTAAGCATTCTTAATCAACTGTTAAACACATGGAAATAATGTAAAAGCCATGCATTCACCTGACACACAATCTTAATCACGCACCTTTAGCAACAGGGGCCACTGAGATGTGTCCAACTGAGCAACTTTGGATTCAGGTTTGATAAGAAATTCTTCAGCATGTTGTATTTCCTTCAACAGGACAGAAACACAACCTATTAAACTTCCCACATGATTTTGAACAATTATATTACTACCACAGAAGTATATACCTTTTAAATAGAAATCAAGGCATTCCATGTCTCTCCACTGGGACCTCCAAGGGAAAGAAAGAAGAAATAGACCAGAGGCTCAAAAGAGGAAGTGAAGTGCTACTAAGATGGGTTCAAATATTTAAAGAGAAAGGGGGATAGTGGGTCTGTGGGTGGGATAAAGAACAGAAATTGGTGAGAGCAGTTGGTATGGCCAACACCATTTTAGTAAAACTATGCCTGACAGGAATTAGGCCATCTGAGCTTGTGTCATTTCAGTGCTATATGATGATCACCCAATGCCAGCCCATTACTTGGAAACCTTTAAAAACACTTTTCTTTAGTTTATTATTTAAGTAACCTTTCTTTTTAGTCCAAGCAAATTAAACCACATTCCTACTCACAGCGACATCTTTTTCTGGTAGTGACTTTCGGTCCTTTTTCTTCTTATGCTTCTTTGGCAAAATAACTACTAAAAACACAAACACAGGATTTGGAAATTTTCCCCCAAAATAAATGAAAACAAAATTTAAAATAAAGACTGAAATCAGGGCAGGCAGGAAATGGATTTTAGGTATAGAATTACAGTCATGCGCCACCTAACAATGTCTTGGTCAACAACATGGTAGTCCCATAAGATTAAAATATAGCTGAAAAATTCCTATTGCCTAGTGATATTTCTTGATGATTCTGACCCTGTGTGCACTTAGGCAAATGTGTGTGTTCATGTCTTAGTTTAAAACAAAAGTTTAAAAAGAAAAAAATTTAAGCAGGAAAGCTTGTAGAATACTATTTGTACAGCTGTACAATGTTTGTGTTTTCAGCTAAGTGTTACTACAAAAGAGTCAAAAAGTTAAAATTTTTAAAAAGTTTATAAAGTAAAAAGTTATAGTAAGCTAAGGTTAATTGATTAATGAAGAAAGAAAAACATTTTCTCATAAATTTAGTGTAGCGTAAGTGTATAGTATTTACAAAGCATACAGTAATGTCCTAGGGATAGGTCTTCACATTCACTCACTCAGTAACTCACGGAGAGCAACTTCCAGTCCTGCAAGCTCCATTCATGGTTAAGTGCCCTGTACAGGTGTACTTTTTAAAATCTTTTATACCATATTTTACTTTACCTTCTCTAGGTTTACATACACAAATATTTAACACTGTGTTACAATTGCCTACAGTATTCAGCAGAGTCACATGCCATACAGGTTTGTAGGCTAGGAGTAGTAGGCTATACCATATAGCCTAGGTGTGTCATAGACTATACCTTCTAGCTTTATATAAGTACACTCTAGGATGTTCACGCAATGACGGAAATCGCCTAAGAAGCACTGTACCCCTGTCTTTAAGCGACGCATGACTGTACTGGAAAAAAAAACAAAGTGTGTAAGGCCTAACACACAGGTAGCAGGGCTGGGTAACTGTAGGCTGTTGCACGTGTCGGCTTCCGTTCCGGTTCACCACGTGGCTGTGGCAGAGCTTAAGCACCCCACAGAAGCGCTCGCCGGCGGGCTGGAAAGTTCCATAAGTGACCGCTCCACTGTCCCCACAGGCTTGTGGCCTCTAGAACTTTCTTGCAACCCAAAGGTATCCCCGCTCCGGGACCCCGTGGCGCCTTTTCTTCCCCGCCCGTTCCCACATCCTTGCTCCCCTCGGTAGCGTGGAACTAACGGCAGCATCCGGGCTGGTGGCAGCACAGGTGCTGCCAGGTCTCCGGCCACCACCGGTAGAAGGCACGGCAGACGTCTTTTGACGGCGACCCGGGCTCTAGGAGCACGCTCGTGGAAGGAGGCCCGGGCCCCGCAGAGCCAAGTCACTGCGAGGGCCTCTCACTCTCGTGCCCTCGCCGGTGGAACCAGGGCCGAGAAACAAGGGTAGCTTAAGGCCCCGCGGCTAAGCGGTGGACCCTCCAGCGGGAACCGGAGGCTAGCGCGGGCCCCGATGCCACAGCCCATAGCCCCACCCCCGACTCCTTGAGACCCTGGAGGAGGCCCTGGACGGAGGAGCGCAGCCCTTACCTTCCGCATCCGCCATGTTACTCCGCAACCCGTGCGTCCCACCCGGGCCACCACAGAGGGAACGACGGCAGACTCCCGCGGCCCCGGTCGCGTCAGGCCGCGCCGCTAGGGCCCGCCCACTCGCGCACCGCCCTGTGCGCGCGGCGCCAAGGGGCAGTGAGGGGCGGGGCCAGACCGGGGACAGGGCCCGAGGCGCTCCCGGCCCATCCGCGCAATCCCATTGGCTGGCTCGGCCACCGCTGGTGGCGCCACTGCGCGTGCGCATCGAGCCTCACCCAGCCGGAGCTAGTGAATTGAGCTGTAAGCTCCAGTGCTGCCCGCCCCCGCGTCCCGTTGTCTGTGGGCGTGGCCTCGGCAGTCGCTTGCTTACCTCTGGGTTTAACACGAGAGCTGGTGCCTGGACACCGGGCTGAGTGCTCTGTAAATAGTATCTTATTGCTGTCTCACGCTGACCCTTTCAGGTTGGTGTCGGATTAGTCCTGATTGAAAAAATGAACATGTTGAGGCACAGAGGTTGAAAGGCCTTTGTTGCTTGCACTTAGCGTTCGTATCCAGTTAGGGTGCAAGCCACTTGTGGACTTTTAAATTTTACAACAGCCACTTGGAAGAAGAGTGAAAAGAAAAAGGTGAAGCTGATTTTAATAATGATTTTTGTTTAACCCAGCATACCCAAAATGTTATTTCAACATTATAGGCAAAACACATTATGAATGGGATATTTTACGTTATTTTTTTCGCACGAAGTCTTTCCGGTGTGGTTTACACTTAAAGCACACCTCAATTCGAACTCCACGACCAGGCTTCATGTCAAGCGACAGACATGAAGATTTAGTGGTGCTAAATCTCATAGAAACAGTATGGGCCTGAGTGTCATGAAAGGCAACAGTCTGGAAGCTGGAACCAAACTGATTTCTCCCCAAGGATGGTGGTGACTAATTGATCGTGGTGTCCTATAATAGGCCAGGTATACTAGACCAGTATCTGCATAATGCCACCAGCAAACACTCTAGGTCTGGTTAAGGGCATCCTGCCTTGAATCACCACAATAGAAGATCATGTCCCCCCACCCCTTACCTAATTCCCAGACCTACTCAGTCCACACGCCAGAGTCTGTGAGATGAGCCTGTGAAGGTTGAGGCCAGGTACATGCGATACCACAAGTGTATACTTTAAACCTTCCTCCTGCTTTCCCCTGGGACCCATGGCCACTTACAAGGGGCCTACACTGGCCTGTGCTAATCCCTGGAGACACAGAATGTCATTGTGGTGCACTGGTCAGAAGTGAAATTTTAACCCATGTCCTTCTCACCGTTGGCCACCCTGTGGTTCTCTTCCCAGTTCTTGAATTTATAATTGGAATAAACGCAGTTGGCAGCTGGAGAAATTCCCACAGGTGCTTCCTGACTTGAAGACTGAGGACAATTATGGCAATTCCTTGAAAGATGAAACAGAGTTACCATATGACTGACTCAGCAATTCTACTCCTAGGTATAGACTCAAAAGAATTGAAAACAGGTGTTTAAACAAATACTTGTGCACATATGTTCATAGCAGTATTATTCACAATAGCCCAAAGGTGGAAACAACCCAAATGTTTATCAAAAGATGAATGGATAAACAAAATGTGGTCTATCCATACAATAGACTATTATTTGGCCATAAAAAAGGAATGAAGTACTGATACATACTACAGCATGGATGAACCTTGAAAGCATTGTGCTAAATGAAAGAAGCCAAACACAAAAGGCCACATATTGTATGATTCCGTTTATATGAACTAGCCAGAATAGGCAAATCTAGAAAGAGAAAGCAGGTAAGTGGTTGCCTAGGCCTAGGAGGTTTAAGGGAATATGGAGAATGACTGCTAATGGGTAGAGGGTTTCTTTTAAAATTACATTGTGGTGATGGTTGCACAAGATTTCAAAGAATTATGGGATAGGATGGACACTCCTTGCTATTTTGGATAGTTTAAATTACAATCAGATTCCTTGAATTTTTGGTTCAGGCCATGGACAGAAACCCAGGGAATTTCTATAACAATGCTTAAGGAATTACTTATCTCTTACAGCCACAAGAATAAGATAACCCAAAACCAAACTTTTATATTCTGATCTGTCACCTTTCCAAATTACAAAAATCAATGAATTCATAGCCTTGTCAAGTCTCTTAGTACAAGAGACCTGGGGCAATGATCGGAAAGCATAGAACTCTGAGATTTGAAATGGGAATAAACAGGAGACTCCCCAACTCCTACTTAGCTAGCCTCCATTGCTCAACAACCCCCATATTCTTTGTCTGATTGAAGATTACATTACTCTCCTGAGGGAATTAGCAGGGGAAAGAAAGCAAATTTCCCCTCAGGCACACCCATCCCTCCAGCTGTCTCATCCCGCCTCCAAACCTCTAGCTACAGTTAACCTCTGCATTGCCTCAAGGGAACAATTCACAAAGTCAAATGCAGCAGGAGTAAGCTTGCATGTGAAAACAGTAGTATGAGTTTGCAAATATGTCCCAGTAAACAGGCAATATTTATGTAAATGATATTTGAAGGTTCTTGGCCCAACAGGGAAGAAGATAATTTTAAATCAGAATGTGTTATTGGTATAGATGCTGGAATGTAGGTTCATGTGGAGGCGACGCCTGGACCCAGAAGCTTATCCCAGAGCTCTAGCTGCAAGGGACAACAGATTTCAGGTGAGAACAGCCAAAATTTTAAGGCTATTTTGCTAATATATATTGTAGGCTATTGGATTCCCATCACAGAATATTTTTCATCACATTGTTTTCACCATGTCTGGCCAGATAACAAAAACAAAATTCTCACACTTGGACTGCTGCTCCCGCCCCTTCGCTCCTCGGCCGCGCAATGGGCACCCGCGACGACGAGTATGACTACCTCTTTAAAGTTGTTCTTATTGGAGATTCTGGTGTTGGAAAGAGTAATCTCCTGTCTCGATTTACTCGAAATGAGTTTAATTTGGAAAGCAAGAGCACCATTGGAGTAGAGTTTGCAACAAGAAGCATCCAGGTTGATGGGAAAACAATAAAGGCACAGATATGGGACACAGCAGGCCAAGAGCGATACCGAGCTATAACATCAGCGTAAGTCTCATAGTTTTTAAATTCCGTGAAATGGGTTGCCATCAAGTGAATTAGCTGACTTTGGGAATAGGAAAAGAATTTTTTTTTTCTTTTAAGAATTCCAGTATTAGGAATTCTTAGAAATTTATTTATAAGCATGTCTTTAAAAACACATAAACCCATATTTCGAGTTCTTCCTGGTATTTGCTTCCATCTTGTGGTTGTTTTCTGATACTAAACATATGTTTCTGTTTTCAGATACTATCGTGGAGCTGTAGGTGCCTTATTGGTTTATGACATTGCTAAACATCTCACATATGAAAATGTAGAGCGATGGCTGAAAGAACTGAGAGATCATGCTGATAGTAACATTGTTATCATGCTTGTGGGCAATAAGAGTGATTTACGTCATCTCAGGGCAGTTCCTACAGATGAAGCGAGAGCTTTTGCAGAAAAGAATGGTTTGTCATTCATTGAGACGTCTGCTCTAGACTCTACAAATGTAGAAGCTGCATTTCAGACAATTCTAACAGAGATATACCGCATTGTTTCTCAGAAGCAAATGTCAGACAGACGTGAAAATGACACATCTCCAAGCAACAATGTGGTTCCTATTCATGTTCCACCAACCACTGAAAACAAGCCAAAGGTGCAGTGCTGTCAGAACATCTAAGGCATTTCTCTTCTCCCCTAGAAGGCTGTGTATAGTCCATTTCCCAGGTCTGAGATTTAAATATATTTGTAATTCTTGTGTCACTTTTGTGTTTTATTACTTCCTCATACTTATGAATTTTTCCATGTCTTAAGTCTTTTGATTTTAGCTTTATAAAATCATCCACTTGTCCCGAATGACTGCAGCTTTTTTTCATGCTATGGCTTCACTAGCCTTAGTTTAATAAACTGAATGTTTGGATTCCTCAATTATTGTTTACTTTTCATCATGGAAGCCTGTCACTGTAGGACATAATAAAACTTGATCACTTGAAGCTCAGACCTGTTGGTCTTGATCAAATCAAACTAAGAAGACCTTAGAAATAAGCTATCATTTTGCCACAGAGCAGCTTAATAAGTAATACACTCTTCTCTCAGTACAGCGTATATTTCCACAAATCCAAGAATTGACCTATAAACATAGCAGGATTTTGAGAGCTTGAAAATTTTTCATTATTCTGAAAGTCAGTTTCTAAAATGCCTTAATAGGTTTATGTAGTTTAGTAAATTTTTTTTTTAAATTTTTGTAAGCATCAAAGTTGATTAGAGAAGGGGTTACTTTTTTCTGGAAAAGAATTACCTTAATAAACATTGTTATGGTTTTATTAGTGGTATGGTTATGGGGCCATAAGTTACACAATCCTGCCTGGCAGGCTGGGACCTGGAGAGACTGGTAGAATTCCATTTGAGGTGCCTCTGTTGCAGTGATCAGGCAGCTCAAATCATTTAAGTGATCTAATTTTCCAGCAGTAGACTATGTGGCATTTTATTGCTTAGGCAATAACTGGTTTAATGCTGGTAGTATCAAATTTTGAAGTGTTAATTTTGTCTTAAAACCTTCCAGTAAGTGAAATGCAACCTAGGGTTATGACCATATCCACCAGCAGGCATGGATAATTGTTTTAACAATGCTGATATTTGAGTTTTGCAGTGTATTATGGAATATAGTCCAGTTAAATCTTTGGTTTCAGTATGTCTGAAGAATACAATGAGAGGTTAATTTCTGCTCAAGTGGTACCACTTAAAGGCATGTATTCTTTTAGTATGTAAAATGAAATAGTACCTTGAGTTTAGATAGAATGCATTTAGGCATTGTAGAGACCTGAAATAGTTTCCTTCCACTACATTATTGAAATCAATGGAGCAACTAGTTTCTCATACAGAAATGTGCACACTAATACTTAGTTTTACTTTCTTGTGGATAATATTAAGCACTTACTCTGCAGTTTTCTGGAAGTTATGTCAACTGCAGTGATACTATTCAGGATGGTGGGATATCCCCAAAAATATATATGTGTGGGCTTGCTTAGATTACTATGTTTCATAGTTAATCTTTGTCTTTTGCGGTGCTCATGATGTGTGGGGCACACTGAAGGCATTGCTGTAGTCAGTCATTTTGGTTTTCTTCTGTAGCCATTTTATTATCTTAGTGTATTGGTTATGAAGATACTATTATCTATTTGTAAATTGCTACTTTGTATTTTATACATGCTCTGTAACTTGATTTTTTTTTTTTAGTTATTGATTTGGAATATATTCACATTCTAATAAACAGTTATAGGGGGAAAAAAAAATTCTCACACTTGTCTCAGAATTTATTATATGGAAGACTTTGCTTCTGGTATCAAATCTTGTACCAGGCAGAAATATCAATACTTTGTTTGCAAGAAAAAGAAGTTGACTCTTATTATTAGAACGGTATTATGGGCTCTTGGACTCAATAAAGAACAGGTTTAAATAATGGATATTATATGTGCAAAAATGAAAATAACTGTGTGCATGGGACGAGTGAGTATTAAGGATAGGCCTCAAAATCTTTGCACCTCTCAGTTCCACAGCACCACTCCACACAAAGTTATACCATTAAATTCTCTTAGAGTCTTCCTGTACTCCAAGAGAAAAGCTCCCAACAACATAAGGTCTTCACGTTGTGTCTTCTCATAGATGCTCTCCTGCCCTCGGGTCCTATAGGGTTATGACTGGTTTTAAAATGTTTCACTAGTCATGTGTGGTAAACACTTTTAGTTGGCTATCTAACAGCCATCTCTTTCCTCTTCTTCAGTAATAAAGCCCCAGCCAGCTTTCTTCAGGATAGCACTGTGCCCAGCAATGGGGGATGAATCATAGCTGCTCTAAGCCAGTCAGATCCTTTCTTTGTTACATCTTTTACTATCCTCTCTTGCAGTTATGGTCGCCATGTGACACAGTTCTGGCCAATGAGTTGGAAGTTGGCTGGAGGGGGTAGGGGTGAGTAATGGCATGAGGAACCAGAAATGGCCAAGTGGCTCTCAGTTTCCAAGTTAGTGGAGCAATTCTCATGTCTGTAAGTGGAAATGTGTCTTTTTTCAGTACTAGAGTCTAAACCAGCCAGGTCCAAAGTCACGAGGTTGAGAAGGAAAAATTCTAAAGGCAGATCATTCAGCACACCTGTGAGATATGTCATTTCCCACCTCAACTCTCTGTTTTCCAGACCCCTTATATTCTAGCTATGAGAAAAACTTCACTATTTAATAGTCTCTGGCTCATAGTTTATTTCAAATTCTGTAGGCTTCAAATTCTGTAGCACTCCAACTTCACAAGGTTTTGTGTCCCAACTAGCAACATGGCAGAATTTTCAACAGGCCATTTTATCATTGGCCAGATCAACAGCTGTATGCAAAATGTTGAAAAGGGTGTGGAATTGTTATAGCAAATAGACCACACCTGAAACTGCAGCAACAATGGGAATAACCACCTGATTAAGCTTACAGCAATCCACAGTCATTTAATGTCCACAGTTTTTGTTTTTACTGCTGCATAACAAACCATCCCAAAAGTTAGTGACATTAAACAACCATTTCATTGTGCTGACAGGTTCTTCAGGTTAGGAATTCAGACAGGGCACAATGGGAATGGTTTCTCTTTGTTCCATAATGTCTGAGGCCTTGTCTGAGATGACTTGATGACTACTGGTGATGAGATGGCTGGAGGCTATAATCTTCTGAAAGCTCTTCGTGAACATTCCTGTTGCTTGCACTAAGATGGCTGCAAGGTCAGGTTCTGCTAGAACTGGAGCATCTACTACACACAGCCTCTCCATGTGGCTTAGACTTCCTTACAGCATGGCAGCCTTAGAGTAGTTGGACTCTATACTTGGTGGCTCGGGGCTCCAAAAGCAAGTGTTAGAGTGACTGAGGTATAAAGCTGCATACCCTTTTATGACTTGGCCTTGGAATCTCATAGCATCACTTCTGCTGTATTCTATGGTTGAAGCAATCACAAGCCTGCTGAGGTTCAAGGGGAGGGAACATTGGCCCCAACTTTCAACGGGAGAAGTATGAAAGAATTTTGGAGACCTGGTTTAAAACTGCCACATTCACCAAGACTTAACCAACTGCCATGCAGGCCAGACTGATGAGTTAAATGGGAGATTGATAGGAATTTCCTTCCATGCATTTTCCAAGTCTGTGATGATAGAACTAATTTATGAAATTGCCCCCTAAGTATGTGGCATTTCATTTGATTTACATTTTGGTGGGAAGGGGAAGCTCTAGGGGTTTCCACTTGGGCCTTTCCACCATGATGGCCTCATTCCATAGGTCAGCAAATCAATGTGGGAATTCTGCTGATTTTTTTATTTTAGCCATTCTGATAAATAGGTAGTGGTATCTCCTTGTGGTTTTAATATGCACTTCCCTAATAGCTAATGATGTTGCATATCTTTTGATGTGTTTATCTGTCCTCTGTATATCCTCTTCATGAAATGTCTCTTCATATCTTTTGTCTATTTTCTAATTGGATTATTAGGGGGTTTTTTTGTTTGTTTTTTACTGATGAATTTTGGGAATTCTTTATATATTCTATTGTTTTTTTTTTTTGAGACAGAGTCTCACTCTGTTGCCTGGGGTAGAGTGCCATGGCGTCAGCCTCGCTCACAGCAACCTCAAACTCCTGGGCTCAAATGATCCTCCTGCCTCAGCCTCCCGAGTAGCTGGGACTACAGGCATGCACCAGCATGCCCAGCTAATTTTTCCTATGTATATTTTTAGTTGTCCAGCTAATCTCTTTCCATTTTTAGTAGAGACAGGGTCTAGCTCTTCCTCAGGCTGATCTCGAATTCCTGAGCTCAAAGGATCCACCCGCCTCGGCCTCCCAGAGTGCTGGAATTACAGGCGTGAGCCACTGAGCCAGGCCTCTTTATATATTCATGATGAGTCCTTTGTTAGGTATGCTGTTTGCAGATACTTTCTCCCAGTCTGTAGCTTGTCTTTTTTTACTCTTAACAAGGTATTTTGTAGAGCAAAAGTTTTAATTTTGATGAAGTCCAATTTATAGATTTTTTTCTTTTATGGATTGCACTTTTGGTGCCATGTCTAAGAACTCATCACCAGGTCCCAAACTTTAGGTCCCGAAAGTTTTCTATATTATCTTTGAAAAGTTTTATAGTTTCACATTTTACATTTAAATCTAGTATCTATTTAGAGTTAATTTTTGTATAAGGTGTGAGGTTTGGGTTGAGGATGTTTTGTTTTGTTTTGTTTTGCCTATGGACCTCCAATTGCTGCAGTTTGTTGAAAAGACTATCCTTCCTCCAATGAATTGCTTTTGCACATTTGTCAAAAACTGGTTGGATTTATGTGAGTCTATTTCTAGGCTCTCTATTCCATTCCATTTATCTATATGTCTGTCCTTTCACTAATACGACACCATCTTGATTACTGTAGCTTTATAATTAGCCTTGAAATTGTATAAAGAGATTTATGTGTTGGTCTTACATCCAGCAACCTTGCAAAACTCACTTACTAGTTATAGGAGTTGTTTTTGTAGATTCCTTGAAATTCTCTATGAAGACTATTATGTCATCTGCAAATCAAGACTATTTCTTTCTTCCCAATCTATATGGCCTTTGTTTCTTTTCTTTCTTTTTTTTTACCACCTTATTGCACTGGATAGAACTTCCAGTACTATGTTGAATAAGAGTGGTGAGAGTGAGTATCCTTGCCTTGTTCCCAATCTTAAGGGGGAAAGTATCCAGTTTTTCACCATTAAGTATGATGTCGGCCATAGGTCTTCTGTACATGTTCTTTAACAAATTGAGGAAGTTATCCTTCCAGTCCTAATTTTCTGAGAGTTTTTGTTAAGAATTGGTGTTGGAGTCAGTCAAATGCTTGTTCTGCATCAATTGATACAATCATGTGCCTTTTCTTCTTTTGTCTGTTAATGTAGTGGAT